AAGACTTTTCACAACACTTGTAAATAATTATACACAAAATGACATTTTCTTGGTTGAAGATATGTTCTGTATCAGCAATCATAACGTCATAGAAATGATCTGTAAAAATTTGTTAAAAAATATTAATGAGAGTGTAAATATTAAAGATAAATTTAATAAATCAATAAATTAAAAAAAGTTGAAAAGTAAAAAAAGTTTCATTTTATAATTTTTTTTATTTCATAAATTTTTGATTAATAAAAAAGTTAATTATTAAAACAGTTTTCTTGTTTCGTTTTTCAAACAAAATTATATAATTGCAAGACCATTATGCACGCAGCACAAAAGCCTACTAAGAAACAAGAGCGTTTAAGGTTTCGTGTCTAGATGCTACGTCGAGACATCTATGGGATTCCATGCAAACATATCTCGCTTATCACGTGCAATGTCTATCATGCCTTGTCTCACGTGTATTTACATGCACAGTGTGATTGTACTGAGGCTTCTGAAAAATGTTGAGAAAATAATTTTGATTAACAGTAATTAAATAAATCAATTGATAACATTAATAGCATCAACATGTAATAAGCAATAAAACACTTCTTTTACTTTTATAAGCAAACTTTTCAATTATTTTCAATTTTCTCATATCAATAAAAAATAATAGTAACAACCTATTGGTAATATAAAGATGATAATGATGATAACAATGACACTATTAATAAAATATTGATTATAAAAATTTTAGAAATAAGCTTCTATTTATTTCATCATTTTTTAAGTTGAGTCTTCAAACTAAAACAACTTTTGGAGAGCTGGGCATATACATGCATATATATATATATATATATATATATATATATATATATATATATATATATATACATATATATATATATATATAAGTTCATTTTGACAAAGTCATTCTCCATCTAAGTTCATTTTGACAGTGTCAATATTTCCCTATATAAACAGCAGAAAGCACAGACGATGATTCATTCGGAACCGAAATATGGCCTTATTTGCAGCATGAAATCGAAAAATAAGTTCATTTTGAATTTTAATAAACTAAACGTTCACCAAAAAACTTTAATGAGAAAAATTGAAAAAACGAACTACAAACATATTAACGCCAAACATTTGGTAGAATTTATAGAATATTGTAAAAATTATGGTCTATTACCAACATATATAATGTATATTATATATATATATATATATATATATATATATATATATATATCAATCAATATGTTTCTGCAATGTTCAACAACGCTCCTCTGTGAATTTTACAAACAGGATGCTCTAAACTTTGCCAGTAATGGAGAAATAGTTAGAGAATAAGGTAGAGAGTTCCAGAGAAAAGGGCCAATAAAAGCAAACGCAGATTTAGCATAAGAGTATTTAACACAAGTTATTTAAGAGTGAGAATAAAGAGACTATAGTAAACCGGGGCATTTAGTTTTATTTAATATATATATCTGTTAAGTACTTAGGAAATAATTTAAATAAATAAGATACATTATTGTGAAAAAAGTATACTACGCACAAGCAATGGAGATATCAAAAAATTTTATATAAAATATGAAAACGCAAGCATGATGTCGGCCCATAAACAAACTATGCAAACTTGGAATTCACATAGTATGTATATTCCTTAAAATGTATAAAATTGTAATGTGTCATTTTTGTTTTGAAACATTTTAGAGTTTTTGGACTATATTTTGTTTGTTATTAAGACAAGATCATAATTTTTGCTTACTTTTAAAATTTTTTTCGTTTTCAAAATTTAGAAAAGGAAAAAAGTGGGAATGGGAAGGAACAGGAGAGAAAGCGTGGAAATGTCTTAAAAATAGGGAATGTGTATTCAAGGGAACGTCTGAAATGTCCTAAATGAAAATTTGGGAAAAAATAGCGATTTTCAATTTCTTCTCACTTCTAGTCCAAATTGGTTTATCGCCAGGTAACGCGCTAAAGTTAAAATAAAGCAGTAAACAGATATATAAGCAAAACAACGCTATTTAATTTAGGTCTTTTTAGTTGGAGGATTAATAATAAATACGCACGATTCAACGAGCTACCAATATCGCTACTGCTCAATAAATGTTACGGCGCAACAGCTACCGATACTGTAGAAGCGCTACTGTAACGCAGCTACCGCGAGTTTGCTATTAAGAACCTTAATAATAGAAATTCAATAATTATTTGAGAGTTGGGGATTAAAGTAGAGACTCAATGTCTTGTCCGTTTTTTTATATTATGGTCGTTTTGTAATTATGGTAGTTTTGTGTGGACTCAAAATATTTATGTATGCATGTTTCAGAAAGTTCTGAGCCACCGGTATACTCGCGAATTGCGTTTGAGAACATAAATAAAATTTTGAAATACTTAATGATAAGTCACCGTTATGTTTAATTTTTCTTTTAAACGGTGTAGTAAACATAATGTGGGACTAACAAAATATTCGATTTTAAAAATGTTGTCTTTAATGTTATTTTTATATTATTATTATTCATAATAA